TGCATGTGGGTTATCATAATTTGAATTATAAGTATAATTTGGATGGGAATAACCTCACCAGTGTTAGGAAAGAAAGGTATCTTGGTGTAATTGTTGACCAGTCTCTTAAGCCATCCAAGCAGTGTGCTGTTGCTAGTGGTAGGGAAAATAGAATTTTAGGTTGTATCTACAGAAGTACTGAATACAAGTCCAAAGAGGTTATAATTTCATTGTACAGGTCACTGGTTAGACCACATTTAGAGTATTGTGTTCAGTCTTGGGCTCCTTATCTTGTTGGAGAGGGTTCAGAGAAGGGTTATTAGAATGGTGCCTGGGATAGAGGGGTTGTCATACGAGGAGAGGTTGAAATCTCTCAAATTGTTTTCTCTTGAAAAAAGAAGAATTAGCAGGGATCTGATTGAGGTGTTTAAGATTGCAAAGGGAATTGATAGTGTTGATGCATAATATTTTTTCATATTTAACAGTGAGAATAGTAAGACTAAGGGACACATAAATATAAATTTTGGAAAGATAGGAGTCATCTTCAACTAAGAAAGTTTAATTTTTCTAACAGGGTAGTTGGCCTTTGGAATGGGTTGCCTTCAGATGTTGTGCAAGTAGTAAATTTAAGTGAGTTTAACAGAAAGCTTGATAAGTATACAAATGATAAAGGCTGGCTTTAAAATTTAAAAAAAAAATTATAATAATTTTAGTTTCGTTTAGAGGATGGGACAGCCGAGATGGACCAATGGGTCACATTTTGTCCCAAAACATTGTAAGTCTAGGGTCATATGAAGCATACATTTTCTTTTCATTTCTCCATTTTCAAAAAAAAAAAGCAAATATTAATATTGAATAAATATAATAGCTTTGTCTGTCAAATGCATGGTTTTTGTTTTTGAATGAAATTACTGGGTATTATCATAAGTTGATGTAGATCAGTGAGTGTTAACATTTTTCTTCATTGAAAATGTATTACCAATAGATACTCACCCCCATACACAAAAATCTACTTTCCTCTTGAGACTGCACTACTGCCCAAGAGGTACCTGCTAGAAAGGTCTTTTACTGGAGACAGTGCAATAGGTGACTGCAAAACCCTATTTTGAAAAGCCAGCAAACACTAGCCAGAGCAGTGGGCAGATGCACAACTCTGGTGCTGGCTTTTTCCATGATAGTACGTGGAATGGATACAGTCTGGATCAGACTATTGAACTGATTATAATATTACCAGGAGTAGAACTCCAGTGGTTGTCCAGAACACCCCATCTCTTAGTGGTCACTCATTGGGTCAGGATGAATGGTCTGAATGGTTTTCTTTATCCTGGCCTGATGCAGATTTTGGGGAAGTACACAACAGTAATGGGATACAAAAATGGAGAAAGATGAGAAGGGAATACATAAACAATGACACTCACCTTTTAAAGGTTCAGGGTCGATTGAAGACGTAGAAGAGGAAATTAATTCAGGCAAGCCAGAGAGGAGCTATCAACAGAACATGGCACTGGATGTACTGAATCAGAGCTAGTACTCAAGTGAGAAGGCAAAGTGAAGGATAAACATAGAGGAAGAGAGGACTGAGAGCATCCATTGCCAGAAGAGGAACAGTTTGGTATTGAGAGGTGAGTCAAACATCTATCTGAGGATTACCTAATTGGGAGCAAACCCAACGGAAAATATGAGGGTGAAGGGTCCATTCCATGGGTAGGACCCAGTCCTGTTGTGAAAGACAGTTTGCAACTATGTTCAGGTCACCAAGATCATGGCAGGCAATCAGATTCATCAGACTGGAATGAGCCCAACAGAGGACTGCAACCAGCTCCAGGATGTTAATATGGAGAGAACTCTATTTTGAGGACTATATGCCTGAAGTGAGGAAGTCAATCAGGAATGCTCCCCATACTGTGAGAGAAGCATCCATGCAGAGGTAATGGTTCGAGTTTGGGAGGAAGTAAGGGATCACTGGCAGTGGTGTTTGAATGTTCCAGCCACCAGGATAGATACTCGAGAAGATGGAGTGGAAGTATGATCCATGAGGACAGTGGATCCTTGGAGAAATTCCACTGATCATGCAGATCCCACTGTATGGATGCATATGAGCATGACCAAGAAGAATAAGAGGTTAA